CACTTGATGGGAACAGAAGGGTCTCATCTGTGAATTAGAGTCACAAAGACCTTACCCCTACTGTTAAGGTGTTGAGGTGTGACTTGTCAAATCTACATATGTGTGTGTGTGTGTGTGTGTGTGTCATCTCACTCAGCCTTATAACTTGAATCCCTCACTTACTGCTCATTGAATTGAGAAAGCTCCTCGGATGAGGAGCAAAACGTCTTCTGTTACAAATAAAGTCCAGTTGTTTTTGTATTGAACGTTTTTTGAATTTATCATGTCCTGGATGACTGAAAATCTTCACCAGCATGTTGTCTGTTTACGTTCGGCGCCATTGTTCATGACCGCATGGTGGAGTTACAATGGCCCAGGGCTGGTGATCTTGTACTTTACATGTAAAATAAACCTCTGAAATGGAAGACAATTGCTCCTTCTCTCCCTGCTTCAGATCAGAACTCATTCTTACACCAGGCAGTCGTATGCTGGCCCACAGACAGGCAGGCACCATGAACAGACGGAGGAGTCGGGCTCTGAACCGTCTAAGGGGTGGGGGCAGGTAGGATGCTTGACAGAAGCAGAGTGTTTACAAATGTAGGTAAACTGTAGATGTTTGACAACCCATTAAAATACACCAAAATGCAGAAAATTGCATCTATTTTATTAAGACTGTTCTGGGGGAGTGGGCTAGTTGCATTCCAGCATTGATCGGTTTACAAATTAAGCCCTGCACCAAACACTAAACTTATGAGGGAATGGCTGTAAAATAATGTAAATATGTATGTATAAATACAAAATGTGTATCAGGAAGTTTTACTTTGAAAATATATAAAAAGTGGGAAAAAAAAATCCAACTAAAAAAGCTTTAAATAAGCAAAATAATCAAAAATGTTTTGTCAAAGCAGACTACAAATGACAAGAAAACAAAGCCATTTATCAAACGAGTTAATCAAAATTTCCCCAATTCATTCCTAATAGATTAGCCTTTTGTCCAGTTTGGTTTAAACTTACTCGTACTTTCTAACTTCCTTATTCAGAATTTGGTACCACTTTATAATAAGGCTCTCCTTATAGATGACTAATAAATAGTTCATAGATATGTTATTAACTCCTTTATAAACAGGTTAGAAATCATTAATAACTGCTTATTAAGCATTAATTAAGGACAAGAAAGAGACAAAACTAACCAGTTTCTTGCCAGATAGTGAGCCAAATCTGTTCACCTATATATTTTATCTAGTTGTTATATTAAACTAAGTTACTACATTGCAAGCACAATAAACATTTGTAAACCTATTTCTTTAGCATATAAAATTGTACTTTATCAATGCATTATTAGTATCTACAACTAATATTATATCCTAAATAAATAGGTTTACAAATGCTTATTGTACTCGCAAGGTAGTAACTTAGTCTGAAATGTTTAATATAACAACTGTAGATGAAATATATAGGTGACAGATCTGACTCCCTATTTGGCAATAAACTGGTCAGTTTTGTCTCTTTCTCGCCCTTAATTAATGCTTAATAAGCAGTTATTAATAATTTATAAAGTGTTTATAGAGGAATTAATAACATATCTATAAACTATTTATTAGCCATCTGTAAGGGGAGCCTTATTGTAAAGTGGTACCCAGAATTTTGATTAATTAAGTATCTGTGACACAATTAAGAACCACTGTCTAGTTCTCAATCCTGTTTTTTAGTTTTCTTTTTAACATCTCTGGTTTTAGAGGACAGAGTGAAGCTCTTTCATCTGTCTCCTCAGCTCTATGGGATGCTTTCCAAAAGGAGTTTCACAACCTTTAGCAATCATGCAAACATGAGTTTGAACAAAAACTACATTAAACAAACATTGAAGCTAAGTACTCTAAAGCCCACTGTACCCACCCTGACAGTTCATATAAGTACACACTAAATAAGTTACACAACCACCCATCAAACTTTAAAGAAAAATACTTGTCCGGATAAATTTGTTGGTCCACAGAAAGTTGGTGCAGATCCACGTTTAAAGGTTCAATTTTCTAAAATGATCTTCTGAACTGACCCAGGAAATGATGTGCATCCTCATTTTGTGTCTCGAATGTTTTAACATTATTGTTTCCTTCAAAGTGAGTGTGGCACAGGGTATAGAGTAACTCACAGCAGGTCGTCTAATAAATGGGTTTCTGAGCAACGTTCTCACAGATGTTTGTGTGCAGCTGGAGGGCAGAGCATGGCGCTCATCCCAGTTTGTTTGGCTGAACTGAGCTGCTGAACAGAGACAACTGGAGAGTTAAAGCAGAACGATGGAACGTGCTGTTTTCTCAGGGAATCAATGACCTTTGCCAAGAGCAGCAAAACATTATGGATCTGAACTATGCTGAAGTCCTGAGTCCGGAGACAGAGAGATGTCTGCACAACTCTAATTCTCAACATGTAAAACTCATGTCTGTTTTAGTAGCAATCTAACTTTGTGTATCCAAGGACTCATAAGTAATCAAATTAACTTTATTAACTGTGAGCTGCACAGTTTTAGGCCATTCATTTATTACTCTGCTGTGTGGATCCATGTGTAGACAGCATTATATTGATTAAGAAAAAACTCATTTAAGTGAAAATAAGTTTATTTTGAGAAAAGAAAATAACAATAAATCATAATCTTGTAAAAACTAGGTTTTTTTCCCCTCTGGCAAGATTCCTGGTCTCCAACAAAAGGGGGATTTCTGTCAACACGCATTAGACTTTACAATAACTAACCTCCGTTAAAATTAGCCAAAATAAACAACCAACAACATTTATAGAAGTAGTAACAATGAGATCATTTTTAATGTGTCTGATAAACCACCCACAACTGAAAAAGATGTATCGAGCAACTCAAAGGAGGCTCATCAGCTGATTTAGATCTGACTAATCTACTCTGAAATTTTGTTTTACGAATGAATTATGTTTGATTACTTCTCCTAATTAAAAGTAGAAATTCCAACAAAAATATCCAAGTTGCACCAACAAACCAACATGAATGACAAAAAAAACTAAGAAAAAAAAAAGTGAACATCTATACTTCCATCATTTTTACCCGCTTCTTTCTTTTCAGGTCGCTGGAGCCCATATCCAGCAGTCACTGTGTGAAAGGCGGGGGGACACCCTGGACAGGTACACTAAAGTCTTTTAAGTCAGCTGTGGCTTGTTCTTGTTTTTCTTTGACACTGTTTAACATTTTATCTCATTTTTTAACCTTTTCAGCACATGACTGAAGTGTAATGGTGACAGTCGAGGCAGAAGCACCCAGATGTTGAACAATCAAACAAAAGTGGTTAAAAACAGCTCCATAGTTGTTGTAGTTTCTTGCACACAACACAGAAAATGTTTATACAAACACACCAAAAGATGTCTCTAAAATTGCCTTTTTTTAAATTAAATCAGCCATCTGCATGTGGATGAAAGGTGCAAACCGCAGATTTTCATTTGTTTAGCAAAATGTTAGTGTTATTTAATGTTGACGGGGCCTTAGACTGGTGAGTCATAACTTCTTGTTTTTCCTCCAAACCTTCTTGTATTGTTAGTTTACCTATGCCCCATCTGCAGACCTTTTTTAAATGGATATTATTTCCCACTTGTTTCCTTTAGAAACTGCAGATAAACTCATGCTGCTCCACTAAGTGGCCAAAACATCATCATCCATATTAACCACATCACGCACGGATAAATAATCTGGCTAAAGCTTCTACCATCACTTTTGTCTCAATTCCTCTCAGTTAACAATTTCAGCACATGATCAAAGTTTAATGGTGAAGCAAGACAGAACGAGAGAAAATAATTTGTTTAATTAATTTGTTTTTAGGTCAGAAGGTGATAGGCATGCTATTGATTTCACCTCACCCAAAATGCTTTTTTGCATATAGACACAAAGCGCTAATGTGTGAGAAAATATATTTTTAATAAAAACATCCAGTGTAGTGAAGTTGGGGCCTAAAATACTATAGCAGGAACCATCTTTGAATAGGACCACAAACAGACTGGACAATGGAAATTTGGAAATTGTACGTGTTGGTATAAGGTGGGAAAACTGGGAATTTTCAAAGTGGGAATTTGTCCAATGGAATTCACAGGAATAAATGTAAAATTTGAAATGTTGTACATTTCCTCGTGACCGGGATTTTAGAAGTGGCTTTGGAAAATATCCGTCCAGCCATTCATTTTCAAAACCGTCTTCTCCTTAATGGGTTTTGGGTCGCTAGTGCCCATTTCCAGCAGATACAGCACAAGAGACAGGGTACAACCTGGACAGCTCTCCAGTCCATCACAGGGACACAGAGACAACAAGACAAACAACCATTCACTCTCTCACTCACACCTAGAGACAATTTAGAGTTAGCAATCAGCCTAACGCATGTTTGTGGTCTGTGGGAGGAAACCGGAGTACCCGGAGAAAACCCACATGCATGGGAAGAAAAAGTCTAAACCTCAACACAGAAAGACCCCAGGCCTGGAAGCGGCCCTGTGACAGGCTACAGCTCTAACCACTGCGCCACAGTGCAGCCTAGATGCTACACTTTAGCACAATTTTGACAAATTCCCATAAATAACAATGAAAAGTTTTCAATCCAAAATTTCCCAACCCTAGTTGGTATGAGTTATATATTTCTCTTACAGTAATTAAAAATGATAACAAGAATATTGAGGGTAAAAAAACCAACAAATTAAAACAAATAAAGATTCAGTGACCACGAACATGATGTCCCTTCTAGTGGATGTGACTTTGTTTAGATCTTAACGACACACCTGTAAATACATATAAGGACTTGGCAAAGTCATAACAACCTTTACAGTAAAATCTTAGAAGCACATTTCTTCACTCAAACTCTTACTAATACCAGTCATTTGCTTTAACCAGTCACTTGAAAATAGTTACATTTATTTATTTTTTAAATAACCCAATAAGGCAAAGGAAATTAAAGGCCAGTGTTTCTGCCAGTTGTTATTTCGAGTAATAACTGATCCTGATTGTTGGTCAAAAACTATTTATGATTGTGGTAAAGTGCATTAAGATTTAAAAACTTAATTAGACAATTGAAACGAATAGCCGAGCAATAATGGAAGTAATAGTTTTTAATGAGGCCGAGTCAGAGTGTTTGAGGCGGTAAAGAAAAATGAAAAATCCTGAGAGCGATCTAATTACAGTTCATTAAAATGCCAGTGGAGCAGAGCCACAGACAAAAATACTAAAACCGGTGCATATTGGGGGGTTTTGCAGCCATTCTTTCTTCTAAAGTTCCTGGGAAAGGTCAATAAAACATGCCTGCAGGGTAACGGGGGCCTCTGTGTTGAATCTTGCAGGCCACCATCTTTATTTAACATCAAAGTCGAGCTGAAACTAGAAACGTTTGATAAGGACTGGAGCAGACTGATTGTGTGCCGTGATGGCATTTTATTGATTCCTGGAGGGAACTTCTTCCTTCACGTGTTTGGCAGCTGTAAGACAGCACCTCTGTGGTTGAACAGTAGGTAGGCATGACGTTCAAACCTTTTACAGTTCAGGTTCAATCATTTATCACTACTGCTACTAATCTCTGTTGAAATAAGAAAATAATTTAAACCACTTTTGATTTTGCTCTTGCAACACTGTATTTCTTAAGCTTGTCTTTCATAGACACTTGGGATGTGTGGAGAACCTGTTAGAGACTGGGTCAGAGCTTCCATCAGTCATTCCTTCAGAACCGAGTCTCTGAGCTGCCTCTCTTCAGGGTGCTGTTATTGAACTCCTCGTGCTCAAAGCTCAGGTTATTGTGTGATCTAGATATCATCAGCAGCTTCTCGCGCTTGCTGAAGTCGCGTCGCACCATCACGGACGTCGACACGTCCGATAGCCGCTCCCCTTGATCCTCCTTGTCCTCCAGTCGCGTGTAGCCTTTAGTGCTGCCCCAGTTTCCGCTGTGGCTGCGGCTGCTGTTGCTACGGTCCAGTCTGGGCCAGCTGGGGTGTTTCCGTTGCTCTTGGTGCACGCTAAGCATGCTCGGCCCGCGTTCCAGGTCCAGAGATTTGGAATGGCTGTTGAGCATATGCAAGGAGGAATTGGAGCCAAAGTCACTCCTCGCCGCTCCAGGGGAAAGCCAGCAGCCTGAGGTAGAGGAAGGAGCAGGGGAGAGAGTGCAGGAGGAGAAAGAGGAGCTTCTAGAGGAAGATGATGCAGAGTTACTCCGCTGTAAGCCCAGCGGCTTAGAGGCCTTAGCAACAGATGCTACAGGCACCACCAGAGACTCCATGGAGCTGAGGGGCATTGACCTCTCTCCGTCTCTTCTCTCCCCTCCTCTGTCCTCCTCGGTGATCGCCTCCATCTCTGGTTCATCAATTACACAGTTGTTGAGTTTTATGACGGGGAGCGTAAACGCAGAGATCGATGAGGAGACAATCGAGCCCGTGTGGTGTCCTCTCTTCTCCCCATCGCCGTCCACTGACCACTGGTGGCGCATCGAATCTGAACGGCCCAGCCCAAAGCCCGGACTACAGAATGAACGATCCTTGTAAAGTGGTGCCAGCAACCCTGCAAAGCTGCAGTCCAACCTGGCCTGCTCTCTGCATCGGCGATACTCATCTCCTAGCAGTACCTCCTCCTCCTCTGCAGACCCTTGACTCCCAGCTCGAGAAGAAAACGCCAAGAGGGAGTTACTGGCCAAACGTGCGGCGGCGTCCACTCCAAACGCTCGCAGATCGCCTGCTTCTCTGCTGTATACACTGTTGCGGTGAAAGTATTGCTTTTGTTCCTTCTGCCTGAGGCGATGGATGTCGATGACAGTCGAGTACATATCTCTCATGTGGATAATCTGGTGCAGAAAATCAGATTAGTAATAGCAGAGTTAGACCTTTTCCTTAAACTCCCTGCATATATTTACAACACATCGTGATATAGAAGTTTCAAACTTGTTTTACACTGGATGCTTGCATCTTTGGAATAAATGTTTGTACATCTAGCGAGGAGACGGGAAGAGGAAAGGTTTAATCAAGTCAAAAGGGGGAAAGAAGAGGCATTATGAGCAGAGAAAATGTCATCAAAAGTAAATTGCAGAGATGCAGCAGGAAGCAGGTTGGGCGAAATTAGATCTGTTAGTTATATGAAGATGTTGATTATAGATGACTGCAGCACTCGTGTTCTTTTCTTTGCCCAGAAAGGCATTAAAGAAATGAATACAGGTTGGGGCAGGACATTTTGAAATATTGGTTTTGGACTAATTTATTCCTTAAATTTTTTTTCTATGTCCAAATATCTACTGGTTTCTTGTTTTCAGTGTCTGATTTAAGCAGGATTTATGTAACGCTAGGCCAATGGATTGAGATAGTTGAGTTACTAGGCCAGTTTTTAACATTTCTGAATAGCGTATTGGACAAAACTGAACATACCAAGCTGATGGAAATGCATTCATAGCTAGTGCTCAATAAACTAATGGTCCAGCACGAATGTTTACCAATCTGCATTGGTTCACAGGGCTAAATCAAATTACAGGCACAGTTACTGTCTCTACATCTAGTATTTTAATATTTGTATTAACACTTACATTTATAGGCAAAAGCACAACCACAAAGAATTGGCTGCATACAAAGTATATCAACCACTGTTTGCCCATCAGTGAAAATCCCAATGGGTCAATCTCTACATTATTCTAGTACAGTGGTTGTTTAAATAAAATAAAATTTCATTCATTCAGCCTTTATTTAGACAGGTTAATCCCAATGAGCCTCGAGGACTCATTTACAAGAGACCTGATTTTTTTTAACAAAGAATGATGACAACAATGGACAACAGTGACAACAATAGACAATTAAAAATTATGCATACAGATTTTTTTTTTTTTTTTTACAAATTAAAATAAGATGGAAAAAAGTAGCAAAAACAACTAGATTATAGGGCGAATGTAGAAAGCTAAAAACAGGAACATGTCTGCATTGATCCTTGCCAGGAGTCCAACAGATTCTTAAAGACACTTAGAGAGGTCAAGGTCGAGAGCTTCAGATCTTTTTGTAAGATATTCCAGGAAACAGGAGCAGAGTAGGAGAAGACCCTTTTGCCTAGTTCAGTCCGCACTGAGGGAACACTGAAGGTAATAATATCCTGAGAGCCAATTTACATATAATAATCATAAAGTCTCTTCAGTTGTGAACTCTTCAACACCCTTTGAGTTGTTAAGAATTATAATGTCTGGTGGCAAACGTAAAAAAAACAACTACTGAAGTTAGCAAAGTGTGTTGCTGAACAGCCAGTGAGTGGATCTGCCTCACTGACTGCTTACTTCAGTTTCTTTGCTCTCAGTTCAGATTTTAGTGCGTCTGATCGCTGAAATAATTTGTTTATAATTTTGGAGCAACGCTTTAAATTTCAGACTGGGAAATACCGTAAATTCTAGAAAACATGCATATGTTAAATTATTATTGAAATTTAACAATGAACTTGGTTCCAAATCTAACTTAAATTGGGTCTGGATTTGGACCACAGTACCATTTGGAGACGTGTATTCTAGTGTTAGACTGTTGGTGTACAGCTCTACCTTAGTTTCTCTGTCTCTGTTTTCATGGAGTATTGCATTAGCACAGATGAAGATGAAGATCCCAATCCCCATGGTGAAGGGCCCCAGCATCTTCATTCTCTCAGAGTGAAGATGTTGTTCCAGAAACCTCATCAGAGCACCACCAGTATGCCGGGACGGTGAACCTAACATTAAAGCAAAGGCAAGACGGGGAGTAAGAGGGAAGAACTGCTCTAATCGTTGTATTGTAGCCACCCTGTTTGGTTGTTACCTCGAATGTCATGAGTCGTGTTGGTTGCATCTTTCTCCTCCTTCACTCCCTGTCCTCCGCCTGTACGTGAGGCTTTACCATGTGGCCAGTAACCCAGCGTTGCCATGCAGATCCCTATTGCCAAAATGATCAGTCCCAAGAAGAGGAAGAATCCAGAGGCTGAGTAGAGGCGGAGTCTACCACGTACCACCACAACATCGGTGCGACGCTTCCGTTTTCTAAAGCAAAATCACAGAGAATGCAGTTTTTAGAGGCATATAATCAACAAAAAACTGTGAGACGAAGTTGACGCATGTTTAAAAAGGTTTAAGAATTTGCTGAGACAATGATAAATTCTGTATGATGTCCCAAATACTTTCTCAAAATGTCCAGCTTTTCAAATGAACAGATTGGAGTGCTCATTTGTGCTTCAAATGTTTCAAACAAAACTAAATCCCCATCACCTGGGGGCCCCTTCAGAGGTCAATCCTGCTGCAGGCGGTGCCCGATGCTGAGAGCGGGACGAGTCCTGGCGCTTTAGTTTGGCCAAGCCTGTAAGTACACCTGCTGCTGCCGTCATACTTTACCTGCAGACACACAGCAAGACGCAAGAACTTATTTATTCTTCAGTTTCCACAAAATATCACACATTTTAATCATCCAACATGACAGTGGAGAAATGAACCATCCTGTGCCCACACTTAAATCATATATTTAAATACTTTATAACAATACTGAGGAAAAGATAATAAGTTTCATATTTCCACCTTCTCTTTACACTTCTGCTTCAAGACATTCAAAAGAATTGTCAATTTTAGAGTTACATTTTGTCTTTTGTCCAAATTATCTTCCATTCTAGTCCTTCAGTTGCAGCTTTTTCTTTGGTCAAACTTGGTCAGTGAGGTTATGCATGATCTGGCAGTACTTGAACTACATGTTGAGGATGGCTCTCAGCTACTACTGCACTAGAGTTTACTCCAACATTTGTAAAAGTCACTGAGTTGTAGGCATTTTGTGCTGACTGAGGAGCTGTGGTGCCATCTCCAAAAGGTAATCAGTTATAGATTTCATTCGCTTGTCTAATCTTAAAGCTTTTCTCATGTACAGCAGTAAATGTTCAAACCTTCAAGTAACACGTTTGTTTTAAAGGGAAAGCGTAATTCAGCAGAAAATAGTAAGTTGTGTTAAAATGCACAATGTTTGTGTGTTTATTAAAGATGTAAACAATCAAAACAATACACACCCAGTAAGAGTTTCCTCTGTTTACTCATACCCTCAGGCCAACATTAGTGTGCAAGAATGTACACGTGCACATGCGCGCGTGTGTGTTGTTTTTGTAAATTAGGAAACTCACTGCCTGTTAACTCAGGGACTTAGGTTTGTGAATTTCAGTCCTTCATTGTTGAAGACCTCTGTTTGTTGGATTAACATTTTTGCTGTTGCTCTAATCAGTGTTCGAAATAATAAAATTTCACAGTGGCACAATGTTTATGTTAATCCTCTCCTCCATGTTCACCAGCTGCTCTGATGTCTAATAATAGCCATTAGAGGAAGAGGGCTTAAAAACAAACGGGCTTTTTCAAGAGCCCTCGTTTGAGTTTAAATGCTTGGTAATTTGGTTTAAAGTGAACATCAGTATTGTCCTGTGATTGTGAAGCACAGAGAGGATTAAACTGTCTATACTTGATGCTGAATCTTGTATGTGACAGGAAATATCTGGTGTCTCTGACTGTTTTGTTGCCATTTTCTCAGGTCCAAACTGACTGAAGCAGCTGTTGCTACAGTCACACAGCAGCCTTTTGGCCTTAAAGTGCCTGTGACATCAAATATTTTTTGTAATAAATGTGAATGAATTTTTGGAAAGATAACATTAATAACATATTACAATAAAATACAATAAAATTAAGTCAATCTTGCTGCTGAGATGAACAATTGTTCAGATATTCGCATGAGCAGTAACAGGAAGTGATGACAAAGTGGAATGTCTACATGTGAGCAGAGCATTGCTACAGAGGCTAACAAGACAGACAGTAGAGAGGAATCTGATGTTTCTTTAGGTTATTTTGAGTCACTATTGAAGAGAGAAAGAGCAGTTAGATTTTTTGAATAATGTTTCATTAAACAAAGACCGGGCAGCACGGTGGCGCAACTGGTAGAGCTGCTGCCTCTCAGCGAGAAGGTCCTTGGTTCAAACCCCGGTCCAGGGGCCTTTCTGGGTGGAGTTTGCATGTTCTCTCCGTGCATGCGTGGGTTTTCTCCGGGTGCTCCGGTTTCCTCCCACAGACCAAAAACATGCATGTTAGGCTGATTGGTAACTCTAAAATTGTCCCTAGGTGTGAGTGTGAGAGTGAATGGTTGTTTGTCTCGTTTGTCTCTATGTGGCCCTGTGATGGACTTGCGACCCGTCCAGGGTGTACCCCGCCCCTCGCACAGTGATTGCTGGACATGGGCACCGACGACCCCCGTGACCCAAAATGGAATAAACGGGTAAAGATAATGGATGGATGGATAAACAAAGACCAGGAAGTTCCTCTTTGAAGTCACTTCCTGTTTCACTTGGACTGCATCAAGTTAAAAAATATGCTCATTATGTGACAAAATGGGTAAAATCATGGGCATTCTGCCATATATCTTAAATATTAAGATTTTCTTTTACACTTTTTGCATTTATAGGATATGAATGTCACAGAGGTGGAAGGACTACTTCTCGGATCTTCTCATACCCACTGGCACACCTTCCATGGAGGAAGCGGAGTTGGGGGACTTTGGGATTGGTCTGACCATGACCATAGCTGAGGTTGCCGAGGTAGTTAAAAAACTCTGAGGTGGCAGGGCTCCGTGGGTGGATGAGATTCACCCTGATTTCCTTAAGGCTCTGGAAGTTGTGGGACTGTCTTGGTTGACATGCCTTTGCAACATAGTGTGGACATCGGGGACAGTGCCACTGGATTGGCATACTGAGGTGGTGGTTCCCCTGGTCAAAAAGGGGGACTGGAGGGTGAGCTCCAATTATAGGGGCATAAGTTTCCTTAGCTTCCCTGGAAAGGTCTATTCAGGGGTACTAGAGAAGCGAGTTAGCTCGTTGGGCGAAACTCAAATCTAGGAGGAACAATGTGGGTTCTGTCCTTGCTGTGAAACACTGGACCAGCTCTTCACCCTCACTAGGGTCCTTGAGGGGTCATGGGAGTTTGCCGATCCAGTCTACAAGTGTTTGGTGGACTTGGAGAAGGCATTCAACCGTGTTCCTCAGGGTATACTGTGGCGGGGTGCTCCGTGAGTATGGGATTGGGGACCCAGCTGTTTGGTCCCTATACAAGCGGTGCAAGAGTTTGGTTCGCATTGCCGGTAGTAATGGGTGGCTGTCGTTGAATGATTAGAGCAGTCATTCTCCAATGCAAGTGTAACCGATTTTCCGAGATACAACAGCGGGTTACATTTAATAATGGAATAAACCGATAGAAAATGTGGGCCAGAGATCAGAAGAACCTGGTTCGTGGAGCCAAGGAATAGAGCAGCAATAATAAGCTGAACACAGATGAAATCAAGTAGCAACTCTTATACTGTTACATAATAAAAATAAAATCTGCCATGACTTACAATAAATTTACTGAAACACCCCAAAAACAAAAGGAAAAATGTGCACACAAAAAAAAACAAAAAAAATTATCTGTCTGTGCCTCTTATGGGAAGGACAGCCCGTGTTGCGGGTGTACTGGTTATACTGAATCTGTCCAAAGGGTCTGTCTATGTATATGTGTGTACTTGGTTCTTTTCTTCTCCTTTGGATCTGGATCTCTTCTTCAAGGTCCTTTTTAGCTCGCCATCGAATTGGGTTGAAATCCCACCTGGTCTTCGGGATTATTTTCTTGTCCACTCAAAAAAACCTGACCGTTGCTCTGGATTTCAAACTGGAGTTTGTTAGCTTTGGCTCTTCCACAACTTCCAACATAGACAGCAAAACCAGCTGATCCAACTCTTCTCCCTTTGCTGAATCACTCTTTCCTTCTCTGTCGCGTCTTCAATCAGAAAGAAAGAAAGTAGAAAATGTGCTCCGACTTCACCCTACGCTTCTGAGCGTGATTCCTGATTGGCTGCTGCTGAGCATTGTATGATTATGTACACTGAACGACGCATTCAAGTGCAGTAGGACATTTAAAATGTAACTATTATGGACAAACTTAAGGAATATACACTCTTATTAATTCTATTTTTCCTGTCATTAGTCCGTTTACGTCACCTGGGCTACACTAAAGTTGGGGGTTTGATTCCACCAGCAGTCACATGCTGAAGTGTCCCTGGGCAAGACACTGAACCGCTCATTGCCTCCAATGTGTGTCCCATCGGTGTTTGAATGTGATCTAAAGCATTGATTATTCTTTGTAAAGATAGTGTTGCATGAATGGGCAAATGAGGACACAGATTGTGATGTAAATAGCTTTGCGTATCTTGATTAGATAGAAAGGTGCTTTGTAAGTACAGTCCATTTAGATAAGTACTGTACAGTCCATTTAGTAAGTCGGACCCCTTCAAGGTGGGAGTTGGACTCTGCCAGGGCTACTTGTTGTCACTAATTCTGTTCATAACTTTAATGGACTGAATTTCTTGGTGCAGCCAGGAGGCAGAGGGATTCCGGTTATGTGGCTTCAGGATTCCATCTCTGCTCTTTGCAGATGATGTGGTCCTGTTAGCATCATCGTGCTGTGATCGTCAGCTCTCACTGGAGCGGTTCGCAGCTGAGTGTGAAGCGGCTGGGATGAGAATTAACACCTCCAAATCTGAGGCCATGGTCCTCAGTTGGAAAAGGGTGGATTGTTCTCTTCAGGTCAAGGGTGAGGTTGTGTCTCAAGTGGAGGAGTTCAAGTATCTTGGGGTTTTGTTCATGAGTAATGGAAGGATGGAGCATGACAGACGGATTGGTGCAGCATCTGAAGTATTGCGGACTCTGTACTGGTCCGTAGTGGTGAAGAAGGAGCAGAGCTGTAAGGCAAAGCTCTCTGTTTACTGGTCGGTCTACGTTCCTACCCTCACCTATGGTCATGAGCTCTGGGTAGTGACCAAAAGAATGAGATCACGATTACAGGCAGGTGAAATGAGTTTCCTCCTCAGGGTAGCTGGACTCTCCCTTAGACATAATGTGAGAAGTTCAATTATCCAGGAGAAACTCAGTAGAACTGCTGCTTCACTTTGAGAGGAGCCAGTTGAGGTGGTTCGGGCATCTAGTAAGGATGGGTGCCTCCCTAGGGAGGTGCTTTGGGCATTTCCAACTGGGAAGAGAACCGGAGGAAGACCCAGGACATGTTGGAGAGACTGTGTCTCTCGGTTGGCCTGGGAACACCTTAGAATCCTCCCAGAAGAACTGGAAGAGGTGGCTGTGGAAAGAGAAGTCTGGACCTCCCTGCTCAAGCTGTTGCCCCCGTGACCTGACTTTGGAATAAGTGGAAGATAATGGATGGATGGTTGGATGGCTGGATGGATGGCTGGATGGATGGATGGATGGATGGATGGATGTCACAGACATTTTAAACTGAGGTCTCCAGGAGTTCAGGGTCTGCTGCTGAAAACTGAAAAAGGAGAAGCTGAGAACTTT